TTCTTTTATCCTTTTTATTTCAGTACCTTCTACCCTTCAAGAAAGTTTGTATTTTATAATTAGTGATCATTAAAATTGTTAACAGTTTTTCTAAAAAGAAGTCAAGGAATATATCTGAATTTAAAGAGAAAACAAATTTTAATTGCTTTATTGGCCACTTCCCAGTGTCAGCTACTTAGTGATAGATTAATTTAATCAGATTAATTTTCTGGTTTAAATGTCAAAAAATGCCTTTTTGAGAATTACAGTAATTGAAATGATTGATGTGCTTCTTGTATCTATTATAGCTTTAAAAATCTGCTTATCTACTGCATGTTGGAGATCCAGTTAAATCACAAGAGGGCCTGTTTATCAAATTAGCTGTCTAAGATCATGCCAGTTTGCTTAAGTGAGGTCATCTCTAAAAACAAACAAACAAATAACAACAAAAGCCTGTTAACATCCTAAGCTAGCAATTACATTCTGGGTTTTTGTTTGTTTATTTTTCATTCCCCCAATGCAAATCTTAGTAACTGCTGCTACTTTCTACTAAATTAAGAACAAATGATCTATAAGACATATGGCTTCAGTAAATACAATTCCAAAATGAGGACATAGAATGCTCCTTCCTGACATATTTTTGTGATGGTGTCAGCAGGTCCTTAATTTACTCCTGAATTTTTAATGCCCAGGGGTTTGCTTTATTTATTTTTTCCTCTTTTATATGCTTAATTGAAACTCATGGATGGATTTGGCATGAGGCACCACTCTAGATGGCTGTCTATTATAGATCAGGTATTGTTTCCTGGCCTTATAAAGAAATGTCTTAGAAACGGCCAAATTTTGTTATTAGGATTACTGGTCTATCATTACACCATGGCTTTTGGTGAAGTCAGACACTTGGAAGCCCCTTAATGCCCATCTCTCCTTACCTTCCACCAGCTGGCTGTAAAGGGAAGACGAATAGCATGTGTTCCATTGCAAACGTTTTTGCATTCAGAGAGAGGGGCAGGCTTGGTCAGTTTCCTTCTCAGCAGAGCAGCCCAGTTGCCTGCCGGGCTCTTGGTTTGATGTTGCTGAGGCTGAGGGTCCCAGTGGACAGACAGGGATCATTTGAGACAGGGGCTGAGGTGCTCAGCATAGAAATGAAGCAGCTTTTGCCTTAACCTACCAAGCTTCCCGATTTAACCCATTTAACCATTTTCTCATTTCCTGACTCTGATCGTAGATGAGTCCTAGCTCTTACTGAAGTAGAGGTAAATAAGTACACAACAGGGGAGGAAGGAAAGATACGGGACAGCAGAATTGAAGAACAGAAACAGAAGATGATTCTAATAGAGACATTTCCATAGAGAAAGGAAAATGTAGAAACAGTGTGGCATGAACTTTATAGAACCTCAAACTTTGAGAACTTTATAGAACCTCAAACTGCTGCCTTTGTGTTTACTAGCAGTGGGCCCATGGTTTCTTGGGCAGGTGGTGAAGACTACAAGACATCATGCCCCTGAAGTGCCTGGCTCTGTCCCCGGCAGTAACTTGTGCAATAAGTTGGATGTGCAATAACTTGGACCTTTCCTCTATATCGCTACGATGGTTAGGGATAACAGAGTAGCATGCTTGTATAACAGTTGGAAAAGAAAGTAACTTATGAAAGGCAGCTCTGTGTGGATGCTTGTGTGCATGTGCATTTAAAGAAATGGAGTTCTATTCATGTCCTCACGGATTCAACCTCAAAGATGGTTAGAAATGGACCCTAGTCACTACATGCTTAGCATTGATTTTCTACAGGTGTGGCTATAGGAAAAATGGATTTAATATTAAAAAAATCTACCAAAAATATCTTGCATAAATTTGATAATAGATATTTGTGGCTTTATTAACTAAATGTTCAGTAGTGGAAGAGTTAAAAAACCAAAGACACAAATATGGAGGTAAATTTCAAGCTGGCAGCAACCCCAATATCGGCCCCAATATTGACCCCATAATGTACATAAACTATGATTTTGCATGAGGTGACAGAAGTGACCTCAAGGGAGCTGGAAATGTGCAGATCTGTGTCTTGCTGTGAATTCCCATTTTGTTCCCATGACCAGAAACACAAAGTCAAGTCCCGGCTCTGCTACTTGGTGTGCTGGCACCAGTGTCTTCCTCTACCCACCCCACTTTCTGCTTTTTCTGCCTATCCAGCTTCCTAGACTGGCTCTCAGTAAAACTGGGAAGCAGTCAGGGGAGTACCTCCCTCTGTACCCACCCACTTTGACTTGCAAGGTTCCTAACTCCCCTTCCTGTGACTTACCTCCCACCTAATTGTCTTCCCCTCTTCCTCCAGGCTGTGTTTTGCTCTCAGCAAGCTTTCAATTAATCCCCACTGAGGTGCTAACTGATAACCAGCGTGTTAGCTGAAGTGTGACTGCTTCTAGCATTATTTAAACTTTGAAAGCAGGCTCTTTGAAGACCCAAATGTTCAGTCATACAGAGAAACTGACAGAGAAGCCTTCCCTGGGATTAATAACATCACAACGTTACACTTAGGAGTCTTTAACTACAAACGTGCCCAGTCACTTAGCCGAGTCAGTAGCAATGGCTTTGGAAGGAGGTGCTGAAGGAACTCTGTTAGCAGTGGGGGTGAGTGGACCACACCAGAGCGGCACAGACCGCTGCAGACTGGCTCACTCTGCTTCTTCTTACTTCAGGATTTCATACTTGTAATTTGCTGGTAAATTGTACCGTACTGTCAGATCTGGGGTTTAAGACACTATCAAAGGCTTTTCTCACACTATGCATACAACTGCCAGTGCCTGTTCTTCAAAAAATTTTGCAACCTGGAGCGGTCCATGTGGAGCTGCCAGTGAAAGCTAGATGTGAAAACATTCTGTGAACGTGGTAAGGCCAGCCACAAACAGATGGATTTCCGGTGGGAGGGGGGTGGGACTATAAAAATAAGTATATGTGCTTCCGTAAGGCTAGCGGCAACCACTTTAGCCTTGGGTAGCAATCACTATGCTAAACTGTATAATGGATGCTGAAGAGTGTGGAGGGAGCACTAGAGCACCATCATTCCTCATCAAACATTTTGTAGCAAACAGCATCAATCCTTTCTAAAGGCAGGTGACAAAGGTCAGAAGATTATTTTTAATTTATAAATGACTGGCTTCTCCATGCATCACAGTTTCACCTAAGGCACAGTTTCTGTGCTTTCTCCATTAGATTGAAATTTTAAAATAATGAGGTTTTAAAACATAATGATATATATTCTTATTAAGTTGAGAAGAATGTACTTCTTCAAATTTTGAGGTGGAAAGGTGAAAATGAGGGTGTAGAGGCCTGAAGGGCCAGGGACCAGGAGGAGGTGATGGTGGAGGATGGACCTCCTACCACCGTCTTCATGTCTGAGCAGGAATGAATTCAAATGTGCTGAAATATATAACATGCCCCTGTGACTATCTTTGTCATACACATATTTTTGAAGAATTCGTACACATCCGTGTTCTTAAAGCTATCTGACATTATATATATATATATATATATAAAAATCAGGGCTTCCATGAATTGCATTTGTAGCTTCTGTGTGTCTTCCTCTCCTTACTGTCATTCATCAGAGTAGAAATGGGGGAAATTGAGGAAGATATCTTTTCTGGGTTAAACATAGCAGTTTCTTTCCTATAAACATGTTACATACATGTATATGTTTCTTATACATATACATATATATTTTTTTAAATCTTACATTTAAAAATTAGAAATTAATATTAATCATTATGTCTGATTTTTATTTTAATTGAGTTTGAAAAATATTGCACAGTGTCATAAGAAATTGATATGGAAAGTGTGAGTAGAAGGTACTGCTGGTATTCAAATAGCTCCTGGAATTTTGGGAGCGACAAGAAATTTCAAAGGTCATAGCTTTGGGATGTAGTTTTGGCTGAAATATCTAACAGTTCAAATAGAGACACATAACATTACTGAGGTCTTTTAGCTTCCAGAAATCTGTTGGTTTATGCGGAATATTCACTTCACTTAAATCCGCCAGACATGTGAGAGAGATTCTCCTTACAAGATTCTCTTTACAGGAGGCTGATCACTTCTTTCTTTCCAGTTTATTTAACATGTAGAAAAGGCATGGGGAACCGAGCGTGTTGTCACAAATGAAGGCTGGGAAACAAACTTAGTGTGAGGACTTCAAAAGTCCCCTTATTTGCAGGAGGGAGACAGTAGGTGTTAAAGTTTTTTATTCTGGTTCTAGGTTCTAAAATACAGTTGCCCTGGAGTTTCTTTCTTTCTCTTCTTCTTTTTTTTTTTTAATAAAGGGAAAATGCATCTGTAGTATGTGGGGAAAATAGATGTCTTCAAACAGCCCACTTGGTAATGATTCTCCTTTCAAAAAAGGAAACAAGAAACTTCAACCCTTTAACATGAAAGTTTGAGCTCGGCAAAAATCCACTTGTTCACCAGGAACTCCGAACCTGTGCGAGGAAGCAGCCCCCGGGGCCCAGCTCGGGGCGGAGCCGGCCGGCTGCGGGACGGAGGTCCCGGGTTCCGACTCGGCGGTGCGTGAAGTTTGCTCCGCGCGTCCCCACGTCTGCCCGCCCCCGGCGCGGCGCGGAGGCGCGGGAGGCGGTGGGCTGGCGCCGGCCGGCTCGGGCGCGGGGACGAGCCCTGTCGCGGGCGCACGGAGCCGCCCCCGGAGGGAGCGGGGCGGACTCGGCCGTCGCTGCAGCCGCGCGTCGCGGAGCGGGCCGCCGGCCGCGCGGAAGGTGGGCGGGCCGGCCGGCGGGCGCGGGTGGACGGCGCGGGCGGCGCGCGGAGCCGTGCGGAGCGCGGCTGCGTCTCGGGCGGGCGCTGCGGGCTCGGCCGCTCCCGGCAAGGTGATGCGCGGGGCCGCTCCGGCGCGGGGCCTCCGTCCCTCCCTGCTCCCCGCCGGTCTGCGCGCGGCGCCCGGCCCGGCCTGCCTGCGGGGGACGCCCCGGCCCGCGGGCTGCCCCTGCGCCGCTGACCGACCCTCCGTTTGTCTCCTGTCGCAGATGCTGCAGGTGCCGGCCGTGCTGTGCGTGTGCGCGGCCGCGTGGAGCGCTCAGGCTGCCGCCGCGCTGGCTGCGGCCGGGGGGCGGGCGGACGGCGCCAATTTTCTGGACGATCGGCAGTGGCTGACCACCGTCTCGCAGTACGACCGGGAAGTCGGGCAGTGGAACAAATTCCGAGACGTAAGTGCCGCGCCCTGCCGGGCACACGCGCCGGGGAGGCCGGGCCGGGGGCGCCGGGGGCCGGGGAGGTCGGGGACGCGGCCGGGGTTCGCGTCCCGGCCCGCCGGGCTGCTGGGCGGGGTCGGGGCTCCCGGGTCCCCACCCTTCCTCCCCGCCCACCCCCAGGTACCCCCAAAGGCGGCGAAGTGCGGCTCTACCCTCGCAACTTTTGAGCCGCGGCTCTGGCGCTGGTCAGCCCGATGCGCCTCCGCGGTGAATACCGCCGGAGTGAATGGGATCGATGCGGTTCCCAATGGCCCATTAAGGAATTGGGGCGCGGGGAGGCAGACGCGAGGTTCGCGAACGCCCCTCTCTGCTGGTTACGTAAAATCGTCGATGCCATCTGTGCTTCCACGCTAACTTTCATCCGGAGCGTGCCTGCGGCGCCCCCAGCCCCTTGTACTCCTACACGCGCTGCCCTAAAATCTGCGGGATGGGCGTGGGTCCTGCCGCGACAGCGACGCAGGAGTTAAAGTGCAGACTCCGGGTTCCCGAGGGCCACCGCGGGCCGTGCCGGCGCCCGCCACCCCTCCCGGCCCGCCGCAGCCCGGTGGGGCCCGCCTGTCCCGGAGGAGGCCGCCCTGGAGGGGCTGGAGGGGCCGCCCCCGCGCGCCGTGTCCGCGGAGGCCGGGGAGGCGGGAGGGCGGCCACAGACCCGCCGCCAGCCCTCTCGGTGACACCCGACACTGTCCCGGGAGTCCCTCTGCAGTGCCGCGTGGGGTGAGCGCGCGGCTCCCGGCAGCGGGTCCCCTGGTCCTGACCCTGAGATCGTGGGGCTTCCTCCGGGTTCCATCCTGCCTCCTCCACCCTTCTCCCTGCGCCCCTCCGCGAAGTAACTGACAAGCCAGATCTGCCACAGCGATTCCTGAAGAAACACTGATTTTTACTTTAAAATTAGATTTAGCTAGTTGGTGCTTGGCCTGGGTACTTGGGGTGAAAAATGAAATGATAGCACTTAATGGTCACATGCTTTGTGAACAAAGCTTAAACATCACTTTATTGCCAAATGCATGCTCTGATAAAAGCAAATCCCTTGTACATTTGCTTTAAGTTTATACAAACATTGAATACAACCAAAAAGGCAAGCAAATGCATGAGATATTTCTAAACCTGGGGAGGATTTGTTTATCATGCCCTGATTTGGAAAAAATATTGAACATTTTGTCAGTATTTGAACAATGCTTATTCACATTACAATATTTCATTATGTAATGGCTACTTTAAAATCTTTTAAAAATGAATTTTTGAAAACCCTCTGAACAATGGGATATGTAGGTATATTGTTGCACGCTGTTTTCCATATTTTTTAGCTGTGTTGGGCAGTGACAACATCCACAAGATTCTCAGTGGAAGAATTGTGAAAATACTACTACCTTCCCTCAGAGCAGGGGCAAAAGCTTTCTTCTCTGAAATACATTTTGAATTTTGAATATCTTGGTATTCTCTAACTGTATTCAGTTTACTTTATTGAATTGTTAAGAGTGACTAGTCTACACTTAGCTAGTTTGTGAACGTGTTTGATTTAAACTATTGAGACAGGCTGAGTTACCTACTATGGAACTGTATATTTTAGAATGCAATTTCTATAGAGACAAAGCATTTTATTGATATATTATTTTCAAGTATTATTATGTGATATCAAGGAAAAAGTCCATCAAAATTGTATGTAAATTTAAAGAAAGGCTTTACTGAGATATTTTAAGCAAATACCTGTTTTGAAGTATATGCAATCCAAATATCATAATGCCTTTTTTGAAAAACTTATATCAGGTTTTAGCATTACCATTTTAGTAAGACAATTACATTTTTGAAAAGATGACTTCTGGAGGGCATGGAGAAGATAACTGCTATCATTTTTCTGCCTGCAACCACCTGTTGCTCATTATTAAATGATAAAATGTATGCTGACATCGTGGCTTCTCAAATAATAACTCAGAATGCATAATATAGAATTTTTACTTAGATCATCCACCCACTGCTATTTAAACATTTTCTTTCTCTTTTGGGAAATCATTAGCTTAATGTTTTTCTGCATCTTTCAGGATGTTGTTTATTTTTTGGTTCATTTTCAGCTGGAAGCACAGGGTTATAAGGCATTGCTTTAGATAATGCTGCACTGTATCAGTCTGCCTTTAAATGTCTGCATGATCATGGATATTTTAAATAATGATTTATATGCTCAGTTTATATAAAGGCAAAGAAACAGAGAAATCTGAACTTCTTCTTTAGGAAACAGTTTAACTGAAGTACTTTTGTTTAGTGTTTTTCTTCCATAAAAATGTAATTAATTTCATTTAATTCAGAAAGCTTCAAAAAGCTTTAGGAAGCCACATCATAATTATTGCTGAATGTAATTCTTACCTTCCTTCTTAGAAGTGACTGTTTTACATAATTAACATTAATTTACAGGTAACTCCTCAGTGAAAGTTTGAACTGTGCCTCCTTATGAATCATATTTGAAATTACCTTGAATAATATTTAATAATAATTTCTATATTATATTGTAATTGAATTATTTTTAAATGAATGCTAGCATTTATATATTTTATACATAATATAAATATATAAACATGTTTTATTTGTAATAAAGCTTTAGGAACAAGGAGCATGGATAGGAAGTTATGTGAGAGTAGATGAATGTATCTACCGTACTTATTTTTAAATGTGTTGACTTATATCGCTCATTTTCTCAATTTTCTCAGTATAAATCACAGAGAAAGAATAAAACCAAAGAAAAACTTACAATGATTAAGTGTTAACATAGAAGAAACTTCATATAATTTTGACTATCCATACTGGCAATAAATAAAGTTGAATGAAGTTTTGTTACTTTTGTTGTCCTTCCAGTTTTATACAATGTAATTTTATAGACATAAAGAGCTTTAACCATTTTGAAAATTATTAATATATTTGGTTATTAGTATAAAAATTCTAGTAGAAATTTTAATTCATATTTTTTAGGAAAAAAATAAAAGTTTAACTTAATCTAAAGATATAGATAAGTCAACATATTGAAAAATAACTACAGTAGATAGGACCAGCATGTTCCTATCTACTGATCTCCTGATTATATTCAGGTTATAATCACATTATTTTAACAATAAAGCAAGCAAAAAACTCTCTCAACAATAGGATATGTTTAGTAGATATACTGGTTGCATGCTGTTTTCTATTTTTTTTTTTTTTTTTAGCTCTGTTGGTTAGTGATAAAATCAAGTGCAAAAGATTCGTCACTGGGAGAATTGTGGGGGTGCTAGGGCCTTCTCTGGGAGCAGTGATGAAGGATTCCCTGACCTCACTCTTACTAATATATTAGGAGATTCGAAAAATCAGGATCATTATGAGGAAACTGAATTATTACCTCAAATGTCTCACATATTGCATATTTCAAACATTTATATTTTATAAGTTTAATTAAACCATACCCTCTATCATGCAATAAATGATTATGGAATTTGGAAGCCAATAAATTAAGCAGTAATGCACTATATAATACCATTATCAACTTTATCTATTATTGATTTCATTGAAGTACATGTAGTAATTAAAAAATGAAATGACAGAAAGATAAAATATGAGAAACCTTCAAATATTGTATGTTGGAAGCAATATAATAAAAATCTAGCAAAAGGAGGAATGATGGCCATGCTAATTTTCAGTAAATCATATAATAAAATCAGGATTATATCCTTAAGTTGAAATTTAAATAGTTGTAGACTAGGTTTCTTTTTCAGTAAAAGTACCTGGGGCTCATTTTGAACTTAGTTTTAAGAATTAGTGTTGCAAAAACCATAATCAATTTCAGTTTACATGTATTCCTTAAGTGATTGATAATTCACTTTAGATATGTTGAAAGCAACAGTAAATACCTACAATTTAACTTTAAAATTCAACTTTAATATAAGATAAAGGCCATGTAGAATATTGTCAAAATGTAAAATGCAGGTTGAAGTGTCCCAGAGGCACTCAAGTTATAAGGTGATTTTTAAAAAATGCCTGATTTGGGGATAGTGAATAATAAATAAATCTTCCTAATTCCTTTGTTCTTTGTATTTCCCTTTTTCATCTGAGCTGAGGTGGTTGAGTCTGCAGATTATTAAGAGGCAGTGGCTGATGGTGAGGGACATTTCCTGGTACTTACTGGGCTACAGAGGGTGAAGGTCCCAGGAGTCTATCAGCTCACTGTCGTTAGAAAGCAAAACAGTTGTTTTCTATGCCTACTCCAGATACAAATGCTCTGTGGCTTTATAAGGCATTACAGTTATAATGATGAGAATATTAAAAAAAAAATGTGCTCTCCGTGTATTTTTAAATTTATGATGCACCCTGGTTGAATTTCTTGAGTAGTGGGCATGCCCTTAGCACCAGGAATTCCTCCTTTGTGGTTCCTTAATAGTTGACAGCAGAGTTTTACTGTTTTACTTCTCAGCAATATATAAAAATTAAATTAAATTAATGGATTCTTAATAATTTGGATACATTTAGCAAAGTAAACTACTATTTTTTTCTGTTCAGGAATATTTTCTCAATAATGGATATCCAATTCTTATGAAAACATTCATTTTCAGTGTTTTTCACCGTGAAACAATATTTGTAACTGTGGTAATCGTTATCTGTATTTTATCAGAGTCGAGAAGTTAGCCTTTTCTTGGGAATTCTTCACAGTTAATTCAGAGCATTGTCATGAGTGTTTTTCTCTCTTTCTTTTGCTTTTTTGATGATTCTGGGCACTGTGTTTAGTTCTTACAAGCTTCTGAATGTAGTGTACATATTTGCAGGTCAGAGCTGGTGAAGACTATCGCATGCTGTAGCATTTAAATCGGACTGTTATTCATATTGTTTGAATCATGAGGAGATTTAATCAAGAGAGGAGCAGTTGGCTTCTTAAGAGAAGCAGTAGGCTGTCTTTGGCAATTCCGGGGCCAATGAGTAACTCCAGCAGCAAGGGCTGGCCTCTTGGA